CAAGAACAGATTTCGAAGACTGATTCAGTCTTCTCGAACCATTGCGAAAGGGCAATGACTCTGCCGGTCCCATGGAAGGGTTTCGGCTTACAGTTGGTGAAATCCTTGTAAGAGCACTCTCTCGAGTGCACAGGAGTTTCCACCGGAATGGAGTTAACCGGGGTTCCACCTCTGCTAGCATCCGATGAGTGATACTGAGCCATGGCAGTTGCCACTGCTGCATTCAGAGCGGCAGTATCGATGACTGCAGGTGGAGGAGGCGGTGGAGGCACATGATTATTCCTAGCCCTGGGAGATTTACGAGGAGGCATCTTTCAACTATAAGTTTATAAAGATGAGAAAAGTGGTAAGAATCAATTTGTAAGAAATGTGCGAATGACACATGGACTAACTAACCATAGCCCAACAATTGAATGAGTGTTTGTGTTCATAACCAGAATGATGTGTAAGAAAACCCAAATGCAAAGATTTATCCCACAGAGTAGGTAGTTGTCAAATAATACTGGTATTACTGATGTAACGAGTTCAATGAAAATTGACCTAACAGTAGGTCTTACATCATACCATACAGAAAGTTTGACAGTTCCTAGATTCCTAGTTAGTGTACTGAAAGTTAGGAATATTTTACAGATAAGTGCTACTTAGAGCACAGATGTTAAAAGACTAATCCTTAACCCAAAAGATAATGATGTACTAGACATCATCTAACGGCGATGAGTATTCCTCGGGAGAACCCTGAGGTCTCTCATTTGACGTACCACCTCTTGAAGGTGTCGTTCATGAGCTCTTTGACGAGCTCGAAGTTCCATGACCTCAGCTTGAGAGGCAACCAGACGTTGCTGCAGAGTTTCATTGGTTCTCCGGGTCCGTTCCATATCTTCTTCGAGACGGCGAATGCGGACTGTGTTGACACCAGAGTTGGCATCAATCTCCACGACTCGGTCGATGGCTGCTCGACCTTGCTCGACATTACGAGATATCCTACGGATAAGGACAGGTAGAGCTCGGTCAGCAGAGCCACCATCGCTGACGTTGTAAAAGGTTCGGTCCCCAAAGTATGGTAAGGTTGACCCTGTTCGTCACTCCAGCGATTCAAGTTATCTACCCATAAGGGAGTGGGACCTAGAAAAGCTGGTCGAGGGTTGTTGTTCGGGGCTTGACCTACTAGAGGTAGGTTGTTGACTTCCGGCTCAGAGTCTGATCCATCTGAGAAGCCTTCAGCTTGATGATCATCCAATGGAATTGGGTGTTCATCGTCAGACTCTGCTTCGAGCCATCCTGCGTTACCTTCATTTGGAAAGTACGGGTCGCCGTGATGGAATCCAGCCATCTAAATCTACGCGAGAAGAGGGTATAAAGATATAGTATACAAGTAGTTGGTAGTACAAAATACACCTATAGTATTTTAAGTTTAAGTTCTATTGAATCTTCTTGTGGTATTGTTGGTAAGTTTTTAGACTTGTTAACACATCACAACCATTCTAGGGCATATGCTAATCACTCCTCGGACCAGCATAGTTGATCAGGCTATGCCATTCCCAGGGCTGACCATATATCCCCGAGCTTACCTGTGATATTTAACAATCGTAATACTTTTGTTCTTGTCGTTGTGACATTGGTTTTAGTATGAATGTAGACTAGTATACTTAATTAAATATTTTAGTATTTTAAGTATAGACTCTTGGTCAGAGTGTTTTAATCCCAAATGGGTTTATAGTTTAGTATATCTTTTATGGGTTGATATAATTGATTCACTATAAACAATGCACTGATACCAATCTGTCACACCCCAAAACCAAGAACGGCGGAAACGTTCTGGGGCGGAGGACGTCATGTAAGTATCACAACACAGTAAATGTAAATAAGCAAACAACATCATCCATTGCATTAAATATATATAATTTTAATACAAGCGTGTTCTGTACATTATAGACACCAAAAATAACGTATATCAAAATAATAAGATGAGTCTTGAATGCGCTCCATCTTCTCAAAAGCTGGTCTCGGTACCTGTCTACTGACGACCTGAGAATACAAGTTATTTTGAAAGAGTTTATCAGCATTAAGCTGGTGAGTTCATAAGTATTTTAGTGTCAGAAGTTGTTCTTCAAAAATGTTTGAATCTGTATCAAGTATAAGTTTGTAAAATGTATGTAAAAGTTTGCAATCGTTTGTAAAAGTTTGAATCTCTCAGAAAAACCTATATTTTCTATTAAAGAAGCCTTCTACCAAGGTTTAACTGTTTTGTATGTTCGCTTAATGTAAAAGTGTGTAATTTCCCAAATGTAACTATCATTTATCAAAATATAGTTTGTACACAAACGTGTAAGTGAGGTTATCACTAAAATATGTAATGGGTAAATTAATGTAGTACTGTAGCCTTTGTGTTTTAAGAACTACTACGGTACTAACTACCTTAAACCGGATTTATATTAAGGCATTACGTGATAAATTGCACCATACTATCGACTAGTAACAACGACAAATGAATGGTCGTAATAACGGAATGACGTTTGGCACCCGCAGACCTGCAGGTCCGGCTGTAGCTAGCAGCAAGGTGTAGGATTGTCAATCCAGTATAGATCTATACGCAAACTTAACGCTCTCCCTTCAAGAGAATTCTGGCTACAACTCGAGCCATGACCGTTAAGTCATGCTCCGATTTAAATCACCATAATAAAGTATTCATGTATACGTACTGTTTCTCGTTCTAGTATATGTATATGTATTGTTTCTAGCATCATTGTATATGTATTGTTTCTAGTATATGTATATGTATTGTTTCTAGTATCATTGTATATGTATTGTTTCTAGTATCATTGTATATGTATTGTTTCTAGTATCATTGTATATGTATTGTTTCTAGTATCATTGTATATGTATTGTTTCTAGTATATGTATATGTATTGTACTGCGTTACCCCGATGGTAACTAACTATTGATGTACTGATAAATAAGAGTATGGAAGTACTTTTATGTCTATACATGTATATATGATATATAACTAATGTTGAAACGACTTTCGGATGGTCACCCGAAGCTCCACCAGACCACATCCAAATCGAGGAAAAGGAAATAGGATAGGTGGCTTTCCTAAGCCTTTTAAACATTATTTATACATCTATACGTATATGGGCATGCAATTTATAAGAAGTAGAACAAAGTTTAATAAAAGCATTTGATAAGTAAAAAGAGTTTGTAAAACGTTTGAAGTGAAACAGTTTGATAAACAGTTTGAACATTAGTAAAAATCGTTGTTTTCCTAGTTATTAATCACATGTGATTAAAGGCAATCACATGTGATTGAAGCAATAACTATAAGTATTTGACTTGTATCCCCCCCATAAAGTGTTTAAAACATTTAAAATCATTTCAAAGGTTGATTCAAGGGGTATGAACTCACATGTGGTGAGTCGCTTGAATTGAGGTATCGGGTACCGTGCTAAGTGTCAAACGGAGACTTGTTCACACGTACGAGCCTAGTTATCATATAATAAGCATATATATAACTAATTAGCCACATAATAACTTAACAAAGTAAGTTAATACAATTAGGAACATGTAAGCACTCTTACGAGTGTTTAAGGTTCAAATGGTTGCATCTAAGTTGTTACGGGACAAGGCAAAAGGGTTTGAAACATCAAATGGCCTTGTATAGGAGTTTACCACCCAACAAACCCCACATCTTGGAGTTTACGGCCGTAAACTCATGGGTTTATAGCCGTGAACTCCTCAAAGGTTGGTTTTGGGTGTTTTATGGTGCTATCTTGGTCCTAGCTCACTCCTAGCTTTGTTGGAATAACACATGAAGTAGTTTAAGGCTCTAGAACACTCCATATGGGAGTTTACGGCCTAAAGGCATTCACCCTAGAGTTTACGGCCGTAAACTCTTGGAATTAAATTGATTTGAGGCTTTTAAACATCAAGGATGGCTTCCATGAATTTATCTAAGGCTTATGGGGACAAGATGCACACATTTAGGGCATCACTTGGAGTTTACGGCCCAAGATGTGTTCATTGGCCGTAAACTCTTTTCAAGGAGTTGTTTTGATGTGTTCTACTCTCCATTCTAGTCCCAAGTATGCAAGGTAATTTGTCTTAAGGCCTTAGGTGTGCTTGGAATGATTTTTACACAAGAAAAGGGGGTTTACGGCCCAAGATCCTTTCCTTGGCCTTAAACTCCTAAAACTCTTTCATTTGGAAGTGTTTTTATGTCCAAAACAAGCACAATAACTAGTGGTTAAAGTCTCAAAGCTCAAGGAGGCAAGATAGGGCTTGTTTGCCCATTTGAAAGGGGTTTACGGCCTAGGTGTTCTTTGGCCGTAAAATCCTCTAATCTTGTTGATTTTGGACATTAAATGATGTTATAAGGCATATAGGAAGCATTAAAACATGTTTAGGAAAGCAGACTCACAATCCGGGATGAAAACCCGAAGATCCGTCAGAGAGAATTGGCTTTTCTCTAGTTGGAATTGTAAATAATGAACTAATTTAGTTCTGAAAACTATTTATAGTCCTGGAATATTTTGACAGAAAATATTTTTATTCCGGGATTCGGACTATAATATTGTGAAACTTTCAGTGTTCAAGTTTCACGATCATAGGAGCATTCATTCTCCAGATATGTCCAGAAACGTAAACCCTAATGTACACAAACTTGTTCGGACAAGTCTGAAATTTACAGAAATTGGACTAGCTTCTATTGAATAGATGATGTTCGTACAAATGAAAATTTCAGGTTGTCACACTTTTGTATATATGAATTTCAAAATTATGTATGCTAGATCTAAGGTATTATTTTAGATAGTTAATTTGTATGTATAACTTGAGAAAAACCTAGATCCAAAGCATTAGGGTTGCATGTGCATCATAGGAATGTTGTAATGCTCAAAACCTATCGGTGGTCACTACTAGAAAACTGCCCTTTAATGGCGCGCAAACAATGGCACACGGTGATTTACGATACGTATTTTTGTGCATCCTAAAAATAACGTCCGTTTTTAAAAAAAAATGAAGGATAGAGGACACGCATTTTTGCGTGCACTAAAATTAGTGTCCAATAAAAAAATTGAAAACACGGAGCGCACCTATGTTAAAATGAGTGTCGTGTAGAGATGTCGCTTTATATGAGTTTGAAAACACGGAGTGCACCTATGAAAATTCCAAAAGTTTGAATGGCCGCCATTTTATCCTCTGCCTTATTTCCATAGTTCTTCTCTCTCTCACTTATCAATACCCAAAAAATCCTAATATCATCACCATTTTCGTATTCATTAGGTCCCCAAGAATTTCAAAGGGGGAAAACAATCTCATTGAATCATTTTATTTGTTCATGTTCCTTTCTCGCAGTTGTCTAAAACTCAAGATGTTGATCAATTCCTTGATCTGAGCCCCACTTTTGCACTCTCTCCTCTGTATCACCTTATCTATCGTAAAATCGCACAGAGCCAGTTTGGTGTAAGAATCTCTGCAATTGGTGTCCCAGTGTCTTCTCCTCCAACAATTTACTCTGCAGTGTTTATCCTCCAAGCGAAGACCGTATTTTGCCATTACCACACCTCCTCACCCCTTCCAGTAGAAACAATCATATCTCATTCTTGCAATTTTAGTGAAGGAAACACCGGTGACGAAGGTGGCTTCCATACTATCGTCTTTCGATTGACGTAAGAGGATTGGTCCATCTGTTACTCCTCTATTCTAGGGCTCTATCAATGTGATTTGGGCAACAATTTTGAGCAATCTGTGACAAATTTTATTCTCGTTTTTTAAGATATTCTTCATTTATGTTTTTATCTTCTCATCTTAATCGTGCCACCAATCATCATCATCTTCTTCTCACTTACCTAGGTGTATTATATTTTCACCAACATTTCCTTTGTTTAGTATATACATTGTACACGAGAGATATAAATCAACTGAAAAAAAAAATAGAAGATTGATATAAGCTTTAATTGCCCTTCGTGCCCTCATTTATGGTGCGATCGAAAACCCTAGGAAAATGAAAACCCCCCATTTGATCATTAACTTGAAGAGGACTACTAGTGATTTGTAGGAAAAGAAAGCTGGCGCATTCAGACAGGTGTGTGGTGGCAGAAATAGCTGCTGCCTCCACAATCACAACCTATGGTTTCGAGTACAATGGGGGGTATATGACAACAAATGAAATCCAATATTCTTATTTTCCACTTTTGATTCTTGTTCTAGCTCATGGGTGTTCTTCCCTGAATCCCGAAGGTATGCTTATTTATACTTTTTAATCAGTTTAAGTATATCAAAGTATGTGTTTCAACTATTTGTATCATTTATGAACAAAAGTAGGATTGGCATTATTGGATTTTAAAGAGTATCTCATGATCCATATGGATTCTTTGCAACTTGGAATGTGGATGACAATGATCCATGCTCATGGTCCTATGTTCAGTGTGTCGTTGGCAATGTGCATACTCTGTAAATAAATGGAAGTATGTGTTTTCAATGTTCTTCATTTGTGAAGTTACAAGATACTTTTTCATCCAATCAATATGATCATAAATCGTTGTTGATTTTTTGAATTTGATCCACAAGACCATAGGATTTTCTTTATTTTTTTATTCTAAATTGGGTATTCTATAGACATTTGACTAACAATCGATTTTTGATGTTATTATGTCCTTTTCTTGAAGTGATTTTAAAGTGCTATCTTTGGAAGGAGTACTCACACCTGAGTTAGGGAATCTCACTCACTTGAGACATCTGTAAGTGTAAAGTTCTAATTCTTACCCACTATTTTTTTCTTCCAATTATGAAGGTGTAACGCCCGTGTTTCTGGGCTAAAAGCATTAATAATGTTGTAATAGTCTAGGTCAACCTTTGTAACTCATTTTGAAGTAATAAAGAGGAATTATGTGAATATCATGTGAATTGTATGCTTATTTGCTTAATTATTATGATTTAATTAATTAATAATGAAAATACGCATTGAAAATAAATACTAGAAAAACCGATATCTATTAAGAAAGTTGTAGTGGCCGAAACAAGGATTCCGGAGATATAAAGAACGCCGAAATCCGAGTTATAACGAAGAAGTTATGACCTGTCGAAGTTTTGTGACAGAACCGACACCGGGAAGCGTAAAAAGTGAACTTACGATAAAGTGCTTTTTAGCCTTAACAATCGAAACAAAAGTCATAGTATTGGTTAAGCCGAGAATTTTGATAAACAGAACGTCCAAATCTGACTTCGTATGAGGAAGTTATGATTTTTCTAAGTTTTAGCGGAGCAATAGACAACTAAATACTCGAATTTAGGATCGAGCGATATTTAGCCGACACAACCTAAACAAGAATCGGAGGTCTCGTCAATAGTAGTACAACGGTAAACATCCCGAGTCTTTTTAATGAAATACATTTCTACGGAAATGCTTTGATAAATCTTTATCATATTTTTATTTTGGGAACAAATTCCGCAACACTTTTATGTAAAATATTACTCTGATTTTCAAACAAGCATAAACAAAATCGGTCTTTTCTGGTCGTGATTTTGGGGATGTCACAGAAGGGGTATAAAAGACATTTGATTAAAGATAAACGATTATGCTAGTATGTGTTTTGAATATTTTAACAGAGGGAGAATAAGAGAATTGATTTGAGAGACTTGAAACATTTTCTAATTTTTTGTTTTTCCAGTGTTCTCTCACATAACCATTTTTCTAGAGTTATTCCAAAAGAGATTAGCAAACTCAACATGTTGGACGTACCGGATCTAAGGGATAATAAATTGATTGGAAATATTCCACCAGAGGTTGAAACAATGCAATCACTAAAATATTTGTCAGTGATATAATCCTATTCACTTTGTTCTTTATAGATTGCTATATCCCTACTTTCAAGACTCTGAATATATTTATTTATAAAAGGTGGAAGTGAGAAATTGAGCGATGAAGCCATTGAGGACACACTTGAGAAGCTATGTTAAAATTTTGTTTTCTCAAAAGACGTAAAGGCCCTCATCATCATCGAAAGTCTCCTGTGCAGCAAATGGTAAAAGGAAGTGATTGAGCTTTTGAACTAATTTGAAGGTAGTAAAGTTGCTTGCCTATATCAGTGATAAAGTTCTATTTTCTGAATTTTACAGGTAAACTTTTTTCTGATTCCTTGTCTAATGAAGTCATATGTTTGTTGATTTGTAGAAAACCTTACTATTGATAATGTGAAATTTCAGGTTAGTTTTTGATCCTGTTTTGATGATTATACCCTCTTGAATTATGATTTATTGTATTTCATGGTATCTGAACACTTGCAGGAAAAGGTTAGTACACTAGAACAATAAATTAGTGAAACACAAACGAAAATGGAAGAAACCACAAAATTGAGTGAAGATAGGTTGAAGGAAGCCATGGAAGCAGAAAATCGGATAATTGATATAAAGATTGACATGCAAAGGTTTTATTCTGATATTATTTATGTTTTTCAAGTCTTTTATTATAATAGAAAGTTACAGGAAATAACAATGTAATTTATACTTTTTCCTCTTATTTCTTTAGTCTTCAAGAAAAGATTGCTGACATGGAAGCCGAGGAAGAGATTCTCCTTTGGAATGGTATTGTAGCTTCAAACCTTTTCTGTTAATTTATATCATTCATGCAAGATGAGAAGGGTATTAATGTCTTTTGCATGGATGTTAATGAAATCTATTGTTCTTAATAGGTTCTCGTTTGACAAACTATGTTGGTATTTTAAGCCAAGGATTGCGAATAGCTCCCCCTAAAGCTCCTACAACTGGCTACATGGTCCTCCTATATATATATATATATATATATATATATATATATATATATATATATATATATATATATATATATTAATCAATCCATTAATATATTATATATTGATTAAGAAAGTAAATTTTTCTATGTTTGTAGTTTGGAAAAAGAGATTAATTTTGCTGATTTGGTGAGTAAAAGTGCTCAATATTGTTTTACTAACAAGAAAAATCCAGTTGGCCAAGGTCAGTTATACTTATATGTGAAATAAATGGTGTGTTTTAGTAATTAACTTATTTATTTTTCCTTTTATATATATATATATATATATATATATATATATATATATATATATATATATATATATATATATATATATATGGACAAACCTCCAAAAGGGAAGGACTCGACTAAAGGACTTGGGAAGAAGATCCCTAATGAGTCTGAACACATTAAGTGGAAGGATGATGTTGTTGTGCCATGTGGAAAGCTTATATCATCAAATAAGAATTAATTTTAAAAATATAATCAAAATGACAAGTGATTTTGTGTTGTGTTTATAGGGTTGATGAAAGCAAATAGCTCTGGAGTTAGAAGAGGAAAAGAAAAGCTCAAGCTGAAAGAGATAAGATGCTACAAATGCAAGTGTTGCATTCTTCATTTCAATTGTTAGTATGAAACACATAGTAGATTAGATGAATGCAAATTTATATATTGTAAGAAATAGAATTGTATGACATTAAACTTTATGCATTGGATTGTATTTATTGTATATGGTATTTTATTTCTATTATAAGACCTTAAATGTAAATTTAATTTAAAAACTAATAAATATACATACATACATACATATATATATATATATATATATATATATATATATATATATATATATATATTAAACATTTAAATTTACGATATGCAAGAATCTGTGTCATCTTCAGTTATGACATGGCCTTTCTTGACATGGATTTTAATGATACGGATTGCGTGTCATAAATGCGCGTCGTCTCTCTTTATGACAGGGCCTTCCTTGACGCGCATTTGCGCGTCGTCTGAGCCTTTTACGATGTGCAATGAGCGTCGTAAAAGACTGTTTTTCTAGTAGTGGGTATAGAGCCTAGGGTGTTTTTCTATTATATTTGATGCATTTTTGATTTGTTGAAAGTTGGAAGAAAATCGTTTTTAGACTCTGCCTGATGAACATGATGTGTTCATAGTTGTACATGAGGTGCTGGTCTTACACGACGTGTTATGGCATGACACAACGTGGCGACTCGTCCGTTGGTAGATTTTTTGGTTTTTGGCCTCGATTAGATTAGGATAATTACCATAAGTTGGTTTTACTAATTAAATTTGAATTTTATGATATGGTAATGAATATCCTCATCTAACTGAAAGATAATTGTCAAATTTTAAGATAATTATGAGATTTTGTGATAAATTAATTGTTTGTAAAATTTGATTAGAATTTTCTTGCCAAGTAAAAGAAAATGACAAGTTTATGATAAAGATATAATTATATGATTAATTTAATTGTTTAAAATTAGATCTAGAAGTTTTGAAAAGTTTCAAAATTTGCCTTTAAGTTTTGGAATTTAAAATTTGATTCAACGTTTTAATTTTTGAGATATTAAATTCTAAAACCCTAGCATTTTAAAAGTTTAAAATACACCCTTATACTATTATAATATGAAAATTTTAATATATATATATATATATATATATATATATATATATATATATATATATATATATATATATATATATGTATAAGAAAAGGCCAGTCTTACCTTTAGTAGGCTTCATTCAAGAAGCTGATCTATAAGGGGTGTTTTAAAGAAACAACCTGTAAAATGACCACCATTGGGTATCCACTATTACCCACTGCACCCTTGACTATTGGGAGGTCGTTAACCAAACAGGTAGGATAGGGCACTAAACTCTCATTAAAAGTATAATGAATTATAATGTAACTAAATTCTTTTATAAATTCTCAAATATTGGTTACTTTAGGAAAATGTGAATTTGATGCTAACCCATGAAATCACACATTGCACTCTATTGGTCAGTTAGTGGAGCGTGTGTGGTTAACTGGAATACTAATGTGGACTAATGAAGGATGATAATGGGTTTCTCATAAATTATCATCGATCAATGGAGCATGTATGATTAACCAACACATTGATTAGGTGATAAATGACATTGAGAGTACCAAGATAATTTGCATGGTTATTTACTCCTTGTTTGTGACCCTCGGTATCCTAGTCACAAACTTGAAGGGCATAATCGAGATTAAACATGCCATTGAAAAGTTCAATGAATCTTAAAAAGATCTAGAAATTTCCTTCAAAACCTAATTCGTTAAAATTTTGTTTTCGTGGTGGAATTGGTAAATCATCAATTACCTACCTTCAAATAATTTACAATTGGATTATGACATCGATCTTCCAAATTGTGAATTATTGTCTTGGGTCCTAGCCTTGATATTTCATTTGGGTGTTATATCAAGGATTAGATAAACTAACTTGAATTTCTCCCTTTTGTAGATGTCTAGTTCTGATAATTATGGTCTTCCTCAATCCTTTGGAAATTGATCTCCTTATGAAGATGATCTTCCATGTGCTGATCTAGGTGAAAGATCAACCCCTTCTTCGGGCATTGGTGGAACCAAAAATCATACTTCTCTTCCTCCACCTCCTTCGGTGATTCTCCCTGACCCATATTTCCGTCAACTTGAAAAGTTCAGGGTTACTCAATCCCTATTAGCATACAAACATAGAAATGGAAACTCTATATTTGCACATGTTCTAAACATAAAGTCGCATGTTGATAGACTGGAATGTTGGGTGTCATTTTCCCAAAGGAGATGGCTGTTGACTTGGTTCTTCAGTCGCTTCCGGATTCATATGGTCATTTTGTTAAGGATTACTATATGATAGATCACGATGTGACCCTTAATGATCTAACAAAATTGCTTATTGTTGCTGAAGCAGAAATGCTGAAGAGCACCGGTCAAACAAAAGAGTTTTAAGGATCAATCTCCCAAAGTTCCATGGAGATTGACAGTGGTAAACATTGGAAGTCAAAAAAAAATTTCTCTGCTTAGTAGAAAGAGAAAGGGTGATTCTGAGATAGTCCTATGTACCATTCCAAAGGAGTCCACTTGTTTCTATTGCCAAGAGAAGGGGCATTGGATGCAAAGCTGACGTATCTACATAAAAGATCGCAAGGATGGTAAAGTCAAATTATATGAATCTACTTCAAGTACATCCGCTACCTAACTCTATTAAGTTCCTATTTATAAATTCTTAATGCATGATGTGATAAGATTGCATTTTGATGTTTCGTAGGATCAAAGAGAAAGAAGGAAGCTTAAAAGAACAACATGTTGAATCTGATTGTGAAGAGATGGATTTCTATCACATGGTTCGAGGTTAATATTTTGAGATGCTGCTTAGGAGTAATAAAAATTGCTTAGGAATATTTAGAAACGTAGTTTTCATTTGTATTTGTGTTGTAAGGACAAGTTTTTCCACACTTTATTAATAAAATAAAATTTGATTGTGTCTTATTTTACATGTCCTTGCAATGGCATTTATGAAAATTGGTGTTTATATTTGTATTGTTTGCAATGTTGAAATGGATTTGATTCTTAGATATATCGTTTGTGGTAGTGTCATAATTTACTAAACGAGGAAAGATTCTTATCGCCCAAGTTTCAATTGAACAGAACATGGAATCATGCAATATTGGTTGTGTGATATATGAGAATCTTGATACTTGGAAATTAGGACTGGTTCCTTGTTCAGATATGTATGTGAGTCAAGTGAAAGACAATAGGATCTAGTAGACATTGATGTGTGCTGGTCGGATTCACTACAAAGGATGACAAGTTTGTTCGTCATGATTTACTGTAGGTTCAGTAAATATGGTTATGCTTACAAGTTTAAGTGTATTTCTAATACATTGAAAAGTTTCAATGTATAGCAGAACAAATAGGAAGAATCAATTAGGCAGAAATATAAAAGTTTCACCAATCTAAAAGGAAATGAGAGTACTTTAGTATCGTGTTTTATGATCATCCTAATGATTATGGAACCATGTCACAATTGATCCTCTAAGGACACCTTAGTGCATTTACATGACTAAGAAGAGGAATCATGAATTGTTGAAATAGTTAAATCAAGAAGATGAGTCATACTTTGTTCCAAAATCAAGTTTTAAAGTCATACTCTAGTTACTCAAGGTTGTACCTTGAGTAACATGTTCTATGTAGGTTTATTACACCTCATGAAATGTGGAGTAGAAATGTTTCTTACTCTTGCACATTTGAATTTGGTAGTCATGATGTTTTGGCTAAAATAATGAGCAATGAATGCAAATTATATGAAGTGCTTCTTGATTAGAAACCACTCTAACTCTTGAATATTTGTTTGTCAAGGAATGTTCCTTGATAGAGAATCTTATATGTCAAGAGGTTAGTGGGGCTCTTAATGGTCTTGAATAATTTCAAGAACTAATCAAGAATAAACCTTTTAGTTATCACTAGCACACGACCTAAGGTTGATAACCTATAGTGTTGACATATTCTTGTTTCTGTGTTTACTCAAGTAAAGTTGGTTATGCGTGTGAGTTCTATGAGTTCTCATTTGATTGCATAAGTCAAAGCACCTTGATCAGTGAATGTACATTGATCAGTGTAGGTTAGCTTCCCAATAACTTGGAAGCATTAGTAGGCCCTTGTGCTGCTGGATAGCAAGAAATTAAGAATAAGCAGGTTCAGCCCATATGAGTTTGAATTTGTCATAAACCTTGTCTTATGATAGTGGTTCAAAATGACAAGTTCACATAGATATGAACACATACACCATAAAAACTAAGTGGCAATAGGTTTCTCTCTACTTCATGAAAAATGATTGTGAGGAAACTATTTACTAGTATATTTTAAAGGATTAAAGTTAGCAGTTGTGATAATTGCGTTCTCAAATTGGAATACGATGACGACATCCCTCTTCATAGTTCGAATTGTGAGAAATGGAAATTAGTTTGAACATTCGGGACTTATTGCTATATGTTATGAAAAGGTTTAGACACACACATAAGTTGTCTAGTAAAAGGTGCATGAGCTTGAGAAGTCTAGATAAATACTTATCGAAACACTACCTATGATAAATCTGAACCTTAGTAAGAAAGTCAGTAGATATTGGTTTCTAGAAGTCCAACTAATCTCTTGGTACATGTCAAAGCTAGCGGGAGCATAATTGTTATGCTGGTAAGATCATAATTGTTATGCTAGTGGGAGCATGATTATTGTATTAAGTGTTGCAAGTTAGCAATGCTAATTATAAGAAACCAAGTTCTATATTTGTAAAGTTGCAGAATTTGGAAATTGTTTCGCCATAGTAAGTCTTAAGGGGGAAGGCATTTATACTTCATTTCAAATCTAAAAGTTTAGATTTAAATTTTGATAGAACTTAGTCATGAACACATATGAATGTCATGTTGAAATGTTTCAACATAGGAAATTCTATATATGGGAATATTTTAGCAAGAGACTGGTCAAGTATCATGTCTTTATGTAAGACATTATGAGTCGTATCCCGTATGCTTCGGGTATAGGATCGATTTCATATGCTATAATATTCTCCTGTTCTTATTTTTCCAAATACC